AGAAGACCGTCTTTAAATGTTTTCATAAGAAAAAAAAAGAAAAAAAACGAAATGAACGATACGATCGAACTCGATTTAGTTTCTATCGTTGTATTAGAGATTGCCTCTTCGACAAACAAATTTTCTTGTGCATGCGGAAAACGATAAACGTTTAATATAAGAGAAATGCTATCATTTTATAAGAAGAAGTTATTATATCTGGCAATTCTCTCTTTCTATCTTGCCTATATTATACATATAAACACAAATCCATGCACATACATACATACATACATACATACGTATATTTCGTTTGTCTCTAATGCGAAAACCCTGCTCTCGGAAACCGTATTATTAGCCGCGGCGTTTGACCTGCCTTCTTTAAAGCTTACAAATTTATACCTCTCTGCGAACGATTACAAAGCAACGAAGCTACTTTTTAAATTCATTCTTTTGTTAAAATAAACAAAACAACAAAATAAATAATAAATAAAATAAAATGGGATTAAACAAACAACGTGAAGAGCTAATGACGAAGTTAAAAAACTAGGCTACGTTTGTTCTATTTTTCCTTTCTTTCTTTTTTTTGTTTTTTTTTTGATACAATATACATATGGTAATGCGTATCCGTTGTTTACTTAAGTTCATCTTACTTTTTTTTCGCTCTTGATTTAATATATCATTTGTTGAGAGAAACAAATTTAATTTATATTATATTTTATATATTTCACATGTAAGACTCATTGTCAGGGTCTTGTTATTAAATTTTAGAAGCCATTTGCATCAAAGTGTAATGAGATTTCAAGGAAAAAATATTTGACTTACCGGTGAGGATTCATAATCGTCTTGTTGAGAAAAAGAAAGAAGAAGAGAGTGACAGAGAGAAAGAGAGAGAAAATGAAGGTTAACTACGATCTAAGAAACTATTCTGCCAATGACGTGCAATTTGGCTTCCTTATTAATCATTTTTTCTTTACACTATTATACAGCTCGAATTGAATACAATAGCTTTTGAAACTATAGACAATAACACACACACACACACACATAGTAGGAAATTGATAGACATTAATTTTGTTAAAAACTGTTTTTAGTAAAGAAATATTCGTTTTCCGTTAAAAACTATTCATCAAAATATATAACGGTCCTGTAACAGTTATTTTTCGATTCAATAGAGAAGAGAATTGCAACCGGTATGGAATCGAAAAATAGCAGCTATAGAACGAATATATTATAGAACCAATAAAATATTGAATTCGAGAGAATCGAAAATGAAATTCATATGAAAAACGATATATTCATATAAAAGTTATAACACAACCTTTTTCAAATTTCATAATTACAATATTATAAAACCCCGAAACTGATATCCTAATTCTTTTCAATCCCTGTATAAAATGTATTACTTATTGTAAGATTTATAAAAATATTTGGAAATTTTGTATAAAAAATAACAAATAATTGTGTATGTATAAAATGGCATAAAAATGAAAAGGAAAAAAAAGAAACGAAAATACGGTTACACACAAGTGTATAAATTATATATCAAATTTACATGGGTGTTATAGAGAGTTAAACAAGAAAGGGTAGCCATTGAGATTACTTATTTTCCTTCATTTTCTCTTTTCTTTATCTATTTCCTCTACTTTAGCTCTTTCTTTCTTGCTTTCTTTTCTTTTCTTTTCTTTTCTTTTAGTACAATCGTATAAGGAAATAAAAATGTAACGCAACGAAGTGAGACTCGTCGAAGGAACGAGGCCATGGCTTTTCCATGAATTGCCTTGGGAAACGAATGCAATTGGATGAAAGTCGACTGACTGCTCTGTAACCGCCATTTTCGTTGCACAAAGGTAACCGTTTTGCATAGGGATTCAACCTATAGACGTAAAAACGTGAAATTTCTTATTCTTCTTTACTTTTTCCTATTCATTTCTTTTTCTATCTTTCTTTCTTTCTTTCTCTCTCACTCTCTCTTTCTCTATTTCTTTTTTTCTCGTTATAATAAACAAATTTCTGAACAATTTGTATCATATTATAATAGAAATGCATTGTATTTCTTCTACAGAATTATATATATATATATATATAATATTATTTTATGAATCCTTTTTTTTTATAATATAAAAACATTATATTATATAAAATATCTTCTGAAAAATATTGATCTCTATTTTTACGATATTAACTTTTAATCATTATAAACAAATTTGTTTCCCTTGTATTTATAACATTCGAAACACATATATTTTCTTCTACGATCGCGCAAAATCTCGTTTAATAAATCTTTTATCATCATATTTAATGAAACATTTTTCTCTCTGCCGAAAAATAACGAGTCATAAATCACATTTTATAAATCATGAAAAACAAAAATCATGAATGTCTACTACTATAGGCTTTCGTATAAAATAGTATAAAAAATATAAGGGATGAGAAATACATAGGAGAAAAGTAGTTGAAGGCTTTTCGAAAGTGCAACGGCCGAATCGTTTTTACGAGGGATATAGAAAATGTCTGAAATGGAATCCGATAGTGGTCCATCGAGCCGCGAGAGATCCATTTTGATGGTTTCTTTTTTATCGAAACTAAAAGCGATAGGCTTTAACCATACCTTTCCATATTTCCCACCCCGCCCCCTCCCCTCCCATCTCACCTTCGTTTAGATAAAAGAAAAAGAAGAAAAAGAAAATAAAAGTGCTTTCGCGTTCATCTCTTACAAGAAATAAAATAAAAAGAAAATAATCCTAGATTTTGTGAGATCATATATATATATATATTTTTTTTTATTATTATTACATTACCAGCAGATTGTGTAACGGCGTACACATTTTTAAAAATAATATTTACTTNAAAAAAACGGAAATATTGTATGGTGTAATAATACATCGATTTAATTTTCCTTCCCAAATATTTTTCTTATAAAAATAACACGCGACCAACCATAGACAAAGATCTAATCTTTTCTTTTATGGATTCTAGACAAGTACTAGCCTAAGAGAACATTAAATATTCGGTGTGAATTTATTTATAAGTCTAACTATATATAACATCTAATAGTATATGCGTATATGTGCATGCGTATGTCTTCTATGTGTATATGTCAGTCCATTAAGAAGAGATGGAAAGGCTGATAGGTTGTGGCAAGCCTCACTAAAGGCAAAAGAAATAAAGACGGAAGAGGAAGAGAAGAAGAAGAAGAAGAAGAAAAAGAAAAAGAGAAAAGAAAAATAGAGAAATAGGAAGAGAGGGAAAGAGAAAATGTCGAGAAGGATAAATAAAGCGTAAAGTAAAAGTGTTATATGTATATACTACGTACTCAAGTATATACTTACATATTTAGGTATGTGTGCTTGCAAGAAGGGTCGTATTAAAATTCGCTTCATCGACTATTTCTTACCCTTTTTCCTCAACCCTTTTTATCTATTTCTATTTCTTTTTTGTCCTTCCTTTCAATCTTTTTATTTCACTCTTGGCATAAAGAAAAAGAAAGTCAATAAAAATGTATCTCGCGTACACATTCTATGATATAATATTATAGACGCGTAGAAAGAGTGATGCACACCGTTACGTGTGCACTGCACTCGTTGGTCTTCCAACTTCGTGCCACTTCGAAATATTAGTTTATACGATTACTTCTCGGTACGCTGCGTATAACCTACAACTCTCAAATTCTATATTTCCCTTCTCATCCCCTTCCCCTTCCCAACCTCCCTACACCCCTGTCCATTTCCTTTCATTTGCTTTCTTTCATTGTCTTTTTCTTTCTTTTTTAAATAGGACACATTTTTATTGTAACGCAAACTCGCGAATTTGCCTAATATTTTATAATCAAATTATGTGTGTAAAATTGTACTTTTAAATTGGGACAGTTTTTCTGTTACACCGTCTTTCTTTTTATTCTTTTTGTTTTTTTTTTTAATTTTTTCTTTTTCCTTTTTTTTTTTCTTTTTTTTTTCTTCTTCTTCTTCTATCTATCTATTCATTGCAATACAACCGCAATGTCATTTAAAATGTCGATAATAATAATCGGATATTGTACGCATATTTGAAGTCATTCAAAGGAGATAATGGTCGTTAAAATTTAACAATTCATAGGATAATCGATTGGTTCACGAGCAATTTGTTATTATTTATTAATGAAATGCATCGGGCCTTCACGATAAAATTATCGTACGAAGCATCCTTTTCTCGATCGTATCTAACTATTTATGTGAAAAATTCATATGGAAGCAACAATGTGGATGGGGGCGGTGTCCTCGACGATTAGTAAAACATCGGTTGTTTCATTAAAAAAAAAAAAAAAAAAAAAAAAAGGAAAAAAAAAAGGAAAAGAAAAGGGAACGATGAAAAAAATAAGATTGAAAGAGAGATAAGAAATTACGATGATCTACATAGATAAAATACGTTTCTTCGGACACTGACAAATGACCAATTTTTGCGCGTATCGCTCTCACCTATACTCGTCGTAGTCTTAAAGTGAAAAATATCGAGCATCCACCCTCTTCTTTTATTTTTTTTTTTTTTAGCCAGAAAAATGTCGCTTGCTTTCTTTAATAGGTAACCACGAAGAAAAACTATATCGATTTATTTGAAAAAACTGATAATACTTCTTTTTTTCATCTCTTTCATATACGCTTAGTTGAAAAAAAAAAAAAAAAAAGGGGGATGGAATTTTCGATTGTATTTTTCTTTCGATAACTCGGTCATCGATCGATAACGCGTTTAATCGGTATTAGATATTCTCTGAAATTATTTTTAATACTATTCCCCCGAATCTCTGTCTCGTATTTTCAATAATCGATAAGTAACTATCGGTTTTTCTCTTTATCTTTATCTCTCTCTATCTCTCTCTCTCTCTTTTTATATATCGTATTAATTAGAATTAAATTTAAGTACGTTTTCAATTGAATTATTCAAGATAATAATCATTAAACACATCGAACATTTATATACGAACACACAAACCACCAATACAGACATCAATCTCTATCTATATATCTTTTTATCTCGTTTAAACTCACCGGTCAACGTCCGACGTTCTCCTCCTCTTCTTCTTCTTCTGCTTCCTCTTCGTTATGGATACGAGTGTCCTCTTCAAAGCGACGATCGAACTTCTTCTTCCTCTTTCTCTTCTTCTTATTCTTCTTCTTTACGATTTTTATCTAACTTTTTTTTTGTTTCTAAACTTCTTCTACTTCTTAATAATATGTTCATTCAAATGAAAATCGTTAAATAATTAACGATAATTCACGTATCGTGAACAATATTGTTCTTTATAGAGTTTGTAATTTTCTTTATGTATATAAAAAAAAAAAAAAAAAAAAAAAAAAAAAAAAAAAAAAAGCCTAAATATATATATTCTCTTTGAAGTTCTTTCTTGATATTATTTTCAAATCGATCTCTCCTTCTTTCTTCCCTTTTTTCTTTTCTATCTATCTATCTTTCAGTTCGTATTGTTTTTTTTGTTGTTTTTAATTTCGTTTATTTTTTTATTTTTTTTTTTTTTCCTAATTGCAAGAGAAAAATAACGAGGACCGGTGCAAGAAGGGATTCACGCACCCACGTACTATACACGTACACACGTACGAATGAACGCACGCACGCACGCATGCAGGGGGAAATAAACGTAAGTACGTACACATCCCCATACGACGAACGTCCTCGCGCCACGAAGGCCCGCGCAGCACTGACTCTTTCTACTGGCTCTCCTCAACATGCTGGCACGCGAGACGAAGATAGTAGTGCTCGTTGTAGGTTCTAAAGAGAAACCGTCTGCTGCTGCTGCTACTAGGGTGGGTGGAATTTAACCTGACAATTGTATTCTATTATATTCGAGATAATAATAATTATAATAATAATAATTATTATTATTTTATTTTGTCACACACAAATTTATATCGTTTTTTATATTTTAAATTATCGATTAATAATCATTGAAATTATTCTCACATTTGTTATCTTACGACAACGAATTCTTTTTTTTCTTTTTTTTATCAATTTTGAACAAGGAAAAAGAATAACGACTGTGGCCGAAGATTAAAATAAAAAATCGAAGTTATATATATAGTTGAGATTCGAAATGTATAAACGAAAATATAACGAGAAATTAAAAATAGTCATTTTACAGCACAAGCAGTTTTAAAAAGAATAAACAAAAATTTAAAAATAAATTGAATTCAGAGTTTAGATAGTTATATATTCGGGGATCAAATCTTTTAATTTAATGTTATTTGTTTTTTCTTCCACGTATTTTTCTATCATGTTTCTACGTTGATAGGTTCTGATCGAGTTTAATTATAAATACATCGTCCCACTTTTCTATAGGAATTATTACGTAGAATGTGAAGTTTAAAATAAAGAAAATTTCAAATGATCCAATGATATACTTTCCTGAGAATCTAATATTCTTGATTTTATTATTCGTAATTTCTTTTAAAAAACTTATTTCAAAGTATTAATTCAGTAATAATGTACCGTTTGTAATTACATATATATATATTATCTCTAGTACATGAATCGTACAATATATATATATGTATATGTGAGTCCTTTGCCCTAACCGACCGACTTTCCCTTATTGCGACCTCCCCTTATTGAAACATTGCATTAATAAAATACATTATTGCTGTAAGAGGAACGCGAAATCTTAAGTTTATCGTTCAAATACCATATATTCTAGGGTTTACTTTACAAGAATATATTTCTAACATAATATGAACTTATTTGATAAAAGCCAAATATAAATTATTTTCATTCACGATAATCTTATTTTTTATTCGTCAATATATCTCTACATTAGATTCTCAAAGAGAAGCATTCAATTCTTTATTAATGATATATAAAAAAAGCGAAGAATCTGAACGTAGAAAGAGAGAAATTAAAGTAAAGTAATAATGTAAAAAATATTATTTAAATATAAGTTAAGAAAGAGAGAGAAAGAGGGAGAAAGAAAGAGAAAAAGAAAATTTAAAAATTGCATGATCAAAAATAGAAATTTCATCTAAAATTAAAACGAATAATTCTAATGTGACAATATTTACTACTCGTCGTGTATTTCTACGTGCATTTAAAAAAAGTACAAACGTGAATTTAATCTTTACGAAATTATTTGCTTTATAATATGATTTTTCTCGTATCATAAAAACAAATTAAAAAAATATATGATTTTCTTCTATGCCTGTCACAAATAATATTATAAAAATCAAATCACACGTATATTCATTAAGACCTTATTTTTAGACCTGAAACAGATATATTCATTGATTAAACATTTTATTAACAAACGAATTCAAAATCTTTGGTATATCACCACAAATATTTAAAGTTATATTTGTTATATAGAATTTAAAATAATTATATTTCATATTTAGTATTAATATGTGTGCCTTCAGAAATGCATTTATATATATAGCAGCCATATAAGGAAATCAAATAAAAGAAAAGCAGAAAGGTTTGAAGTTAAATCCAACGATGATCACCTGTAACAAAAACAAAACTATATTAATATACAATCAAGTGATACAATGGCCTGACATATAAATCGTCCAATACGCAGATGCACTTTTCAATTGAATTCTCTATTTACTTTTATCAAATTTCTAATTACCGTAGCAATAAAATTAAATTCAAACGCTTGATTTTACATTTACACAAAATAAACAAAAATAAATAAAAATAAAGAAATAGGAAAAGTAGAAATACTAAATTACAAAAAAAAAATAAATATCTATTAATTATTAGGAAAATTTTTAAACTGCATTATACAGAAAGGAAAAATTGCAAATTTAATAAAATGCGATCACAGTGAATAATCTTAAAGACGAAACAAGAAAAGAGAAATTACTGTAATATTTACCGAACATTATTTAGGCTACAAAAATTTTAATAATTTTGACTTTAACTAAATACATATGCATCTTTTAGACGATAGAGACACGAATTTGGTGTCCCAAGGAGATGGAATGGTCCATCATCTCCAATTACAACTACAAATTAATGACGAGCAAGAATGTAATATAATAAAATATAAAATATAACTAGAGAGCTATTTTCGAAGAGTTCGAACTTGCTGTTGAACCTTTG